GCCCCGGGGCCCCGCCTGCCCAGGCCGCCGGGCGCCGCCGCCTTCAACCTGAGCGAGTACCTGCGACGGTTTCTCACCCCCCGAGGCGAGTGCGAGCTGCACGACTTCAGGCTCAGCTTCCGGCAGCTGCGCTGGGACAGCTGGATCGTGGCCCCGCAGCGGTACAACCCGCGCTACTGCCAGGGCCGCTGTCCCCGCGCCGTGCGCCACCGCTACGGCTCCCCGCTGCACACCCTGGTGCAGAACGTCATCTCCGAGAAGCTGGACGCGGCGGTGCCCGCGCCGTCGTGCGTGCCCGCCGCCTACGACCCCCTGAGCGTCCTGACCGTCGAGCCCGACGCCTCCATCGCCTACAAGGAGTACGACAACATGATCGCCACGCGGTGCACCTGCCGCTGACCCGCGCCCCCGCGCTCTCTGCAGGAAACGCCAGTTGTTGCGTGCTTACTACTGAGCTGTTTTAAATCTCCAAACCTGAAACTTAATTACTTCGGAGAGCTTCACTTTTCCCCCTCTTGAGCAGTGTTTTCTTTTCGCACAAGTCTTATTTTGGATGGAAAAATGTCATTAACATAGATTTTGGAATCGCAGTTATAAACCATTTAGAGTGCTGGCGTCTTCTGTAAATGAAAAATAAATTCCTGTCAAGGGCATAAGTGGTGGTGTGTGTTTTATTAAATAAAGATCACTTTTATATGGTCATTTGGGAGAAAGGAAGCTATTACGGCTGTGTCTAGATGTCCCCCCAAAGCCTCACGCAGTCACAGGTGGGGCTTTTCAGAGGGGGTTGGATCCAGACTGCAGTGCTGGGATCTGGGTGTGTAGTCACTAAGTTAGTCCGGTGATTGATTTGGCGCGGTTCTGGCTGGGATTAAGGGTGTGAGGGCAGCACCTGTCCTAGAGTGGGTTCGTGCATACAATATAAGGGACACAGTGGGGCTGGGGATTTAGCTCGGTGCAGCGCCTGCCTGGCAAGCGCAAGGTCGGGAGTTAATTCCTGGTACCGGAAAAACAAAACAAAACAAAAAGGGACAGAGGGAGGCTTGTCTCTCCCTCCTTTGTTGCTTTGGCTACCTTGTGGGTGTCATGAACTGTTCTCTGTCACACTCCTCTACCACTAGACAAGAAGCCCACAGTGATGGTGTAAACATGAAGACAGCCCAGGGACTGACTTATAGCCACTGTGTAGTAAATATAACAACTAAATCTCCGCTAATGGCAAAAACGAATTCAACGGTAATTATATAGAGTTCACTATCAAGAGAAGTAATACACTATCAAGAGAAGTGTAATCTCACTATCAAGAGAAGCTTTACGGTTATACTGTGAAAAAATGCAGGGTTTGGCAGTGGGGGAATACAAGCACAAAATGTGAAACCTTAAACTACATATGATAGGAGAAGGAGGAGAGAGAAGTGGTACAAAGGATCTTACTGGGGAGTAGAAGGAAGTTTATAGAATTAGATAAAGATAAGAGAAAAAACTGATGAGAAATAGGGAGAAAAAAATTATGTGGGGAATAAAAATAAGAGCTAAAATATGAAAAGGAGATGAGAAAAAAAATAAAGAAGTAAGAAATAGAGATAAGAAGCAAGAATGGAAGAGAAAGGAAAATCCCCAAACCCCAATAAACTGGTAAAGAAGAAAAAAAGGAAAGAAAAGATGCAAAAGTAAACAACACCAAAATAAAACTACAGGGCCAGGGATATAGCTCAGCGGCACAAGTCCCTGCCTGGCAAGCACAAGGTCCTGAGTTCGATTCTCAGTACAAAAAAAAAACCTACAAATAATGTGTATACTCACAAAAAACGAAAACAGTGCTGGGCGTGGTGGTGCACACCTGTAATCCCAGCACTTGGGAGGCTGAGGCAGGAGGATCATTGTGAGTTTGAGGCCAGCCTAGGCTAGAAAGTGAGCTCAAGGCTAGCCCAAACTGCATGGCAAGACCCTGTCAAAATAAAAAAAAAAAAAAAGGCAAGAACAAAAGAAAATAAATTTCTCCGGTTTCAAATGTGTGGTTTTCTTTTGGAATCTATGGTTTGAGGGCAGCGTCCAGGTCAAGATGCATTCCCTGCCTGTGCTGGTAGATACAGAAGGTGGCCACACACCAGACCTGTGCCGGATGCATGCACCAGCAGCAGCAGGATTAGGGCCAGGGTGCCAGTGCTTGGACTTTCAAATCCAGAGCAATTCAGGCTGAGCGTGGCCTCTGGCAGTGGGGGTGAGAATTTAGCTCAAACCCCTCAGGGTGCTTCTTTCCAGCCTGGCCTTGGCTCTCTGACCGTGTCTGTCTCCTGTGGCTGTCTCTCACCCTGTCACTGTGGGAAGGTAACACTAGGAGCCCTGAAGTGAAGCCATCGCATGGTTGCTCTGAGATCTGGATTCAAATAATCAGTGCTTCCCAGAATGCTGTCTGACCAGGCCCTCTCTCCAGGGATATGGCAGGCACTTGGACTGTAGTTACTCACCAGCTCTTGCTGGTCCAAGAACTCAAGGAGGAGCAGCATCCCAAGCTCTCCCTGCAGCTCACAGCATCTGCTGGTCTGTTCCACCACCGTGTTTCTCCCTGAAATCCTCTGCAGTCCCCAGCTTTCACTTTTTTTTGTCTTTTTTGTTTGTTTATTTGTTTGTTTGTTTGTTTTTGGAGGCAGGTCTCGCTATGCAGTTCAGGCTGGCCTTGAGCTCACTTTGTAGCCCAGGCTGGTCTCAAACTTGCAACGATCCTCCTGTCTCAGCCTCCCGAGTACTGGGATTATAGGCATGCACCACCAGACCCTGCTCAGCTTTCACTTTGTCTCTATAGATTTGGTCTCCTTTTCTTGTGAGCCATGAGCAGGAGCTGGGCAGAGAGCATAGATTGTCCTTTTTCTTCCCTGTGCTGTGTTCTGTCTCTTTAATTTCTCTGTAGGTTTTAATTTTCCTGTCAGATCTCTCCCAGTTCCTGGGGCTCCACTTCTCCCTCTCCCTCTTTTTGGCCCCCAAGTTGTTGTTTTCCAGTGTCTGGATTCCGACTCTCAGAGAGGCTAAGTTTTTGTTCCATTTCACAGTCTCTGAACTCTAATCTACAAACCAAAAATAACTCCTCAATGCAAGAAGTACTTTTCATTCTTATTAATAATTATTCTTGGCCAGGTGTAGTGGCACATGCTTGTAATCCCAGCACTGGGGAGGCTGAGGCAGGAGGATCCCTGTGGATTCGAAGCCAGCCTAGACTACACAGAGAGACTGTATCTCAAAAAACAAGATAAAACAGAACAAAACAAATTTGCATTCCTCTAATGACTAGTGATGGGCATGTTTTCATGTCCCTATCAGCCACTTGTGTATCTTCTTACTTGAAGAAAAGTCTTTTCAGTTCCTTTGCCCGTTTCCTAACTGTGCTACTTGTATTTCTATCAGTGAGTTGTAAAAGTTCTTCACATGTTATAAAGTTTCCTATCAGACATCATGTCCAAATATTTTCTCCCATTCTATGGAGTGTCTGTTCACTTTGTTTTGGTGTTGAAATACACATAGCATAAAAATTCACCATCTTAGCCATTTTCGAGGGTACACTTCAGGGACGTGCAGTACCCTCAGCATTGTTCAACCATCACCACTCTAGAATTTTTTCATCATCCCAAAGTGAAACTACCCGTGAAACAATAACTTGCCTTTTCCTTCTCCACTGCCCCTGGTAACCACGACTCTGTTGTCTCTGTGAATTTGCCCCTTCTAGGTGTCTCCTCTGTGTGGGATCATCCCGCATTGCTCCTTTGTGGCTTATTCATTTAGCACAATGTTTTCAACACTGATGTGGTAGTATGTTTTGTTTTGTTTTCTTTTCTTTTCTTTTATTTTTTTGAGATACAGTCTCACTATGTAGTGCAGGCTGGCCTTGAACTCACTTATGTAGCTCAGGCTGGTCTCAGACTCACAGCAATCCTCCTGCCTCAGCCTT